TCTTTCCCAGGATGGGGGCCATCCAACTACTGATCTTGGATGCAAGCTAAACTCAGCAGCCAGGAAGTGGGGGTGGGGGGTGGGTTGCCACATGTAGAAGCTGCAAGATGAGTGAGCATGCACAGCAGCCTTTGGAAACAGAAGATAAATTGCACATAGGTCTCCATCTTGCATGCTGGTTTCTATGAGAAGCTAATATTATTTTCAGCAATAATGCAGTGAATCTTTTAATGCCAAACACTCTGGGATGTCTGTACTCTGGGGTGTGCAGAGAGGCAAACTTCAAATGTGTGAAAAGCAAACTAATTAGGTAATTAAAACATTCAAGGAGGACCTACCCAAAGGGGAGCATCTCTGCACAAATCACTACTGTAGCTTCGCCTCTTGAGGAAGGGCCAATTCTGCCACAACTGTGCATGAGGTGTGACCCATCACACCTGGGGCAAAGATAAGAAGAATTACTTGCCCTAGGAGGAGACAGTCTGAAGCATCCCTGCCCAAGTTACTGATCTGGATTGGCTTCTCTCCAATTAACCTTTGCTGGGGTGGTAAATTCAGACACTTCTCTGCATCAGGTACAACAATTTGAAATGCTGAGATGTCCTCAAGCGAGGCCATCTGTTGGGTCTCTCTGTAAATCATTGCTACTGCATTCCAGTCAGATGCTTAATCAAAGGAAAAGAGAAAGTTGCTCAGTGCTGAATCACACTATTTGTCCATCTAGCTGAAATGGGATTTCTTCAGTTCTCATACCTAAGATAGTGATCTGGAGATGCCAGGCACTGAACCAGGTGAAAAAAAGTCCCTCAACTAATTAATAGTCTCCCTGAGGGACTATTTGCCATCTTTTAGCCCAAAACAACCCCATGGAATTATTCTGTGGAAAATTGAATGTATGTATGTTTTGGCCTAATAATCAGAGGTGAATAGAAATGGGGGTAGGGGGCGAACATCTCATTTTTGCTTTCTGTCTCACGTAGCATCTGCTTTCACATTCATCTAATTCTTATTCTCTCCTCTTTTTCCCTTTGCCATAGTGGTAACTCAGGGTTGAATTGTTGGGGTTTTCGTGTTCTCTGGGCTTCCTTCTCTGCCTGCAGATGCCCAAACCAACAACAATTATCAGGGGTGGATTTTGCTGGCTGTTTATATGTGGTAGCTTGTCTTATCAGCAGAGTTTATGGTATTGTTTCTTCTTTGATTGTTCTGGTTTATTCGGATCTGGTTCCTGCTTATTTGCATATTGGCTAATAAGTGTGTGATGAGGAAGGACATGTTTAGGTCTGCTTTTCTCCTTTCTTGACTTTTGGTTGCTTCCTTTCTTGAATGATTCGTAGATGGAGCTTATCTCAACATGTCTGTTAAGGGCTGATTCGTCAGAGTGCTGCACCTCTAGAATTCTCTTGCATTTTTGAATCTGGTTTGTTCTGAGACATCGATTGTTTCCAACCGAATTTGTGGTTCCACTTGTCCATGTGTTTTCATTATGTCTTCTGACTGCTAGTTGATGTTCATAGATGTGTTTTCTCAACAGATTACTATAACCCTCAGCATCATGGCAGCCCATAAACTAACAAAATCTATCCAAAGCATCCTAAGCAAACCCAAAGACCCAACAGACAAAGAAGATGAAACAAGAGTCATTTACAATATACAATGCAAGGACTGTGAAAATTACAGTGGGACAAACAAAGAATTGAGAGAACACAACCATGAACATCACACATTTGTTAGCCAGCATCTCGCTAAGCAGGAACCATCTCCAGATAAACAAGAACAATTAAAATCCCATCCACAAAGCAATTTAGGAAGGGACAATACCCCAGTCAAGGCTGCTAACACAAACTACCATATGTGATCAGCCAGCAAACTCCACTCTCCCATGCACTGGTGATGCTACCTAGCCTAGCAATGAAATGTCTGCAGGAAGAGAAGCAATCTCAAAGAATACCAAGAACCCAACAATTTTTCTCTCTGTAACTCCTCTTCTTACTCTTGTTCTTGGTTCCACTTTCTATACAGCTGTTATCTTAAGGAAAAGTTTCATCACTGATGGAAGTTTTTCAGATGCCTAAAAGTGACATTTGGGATTGCAATGCTCAGAGGGGATTAACTTGTCTCTCTAGCTGCAGTCAGGTTTTCAACAAACCTCTAGAGGCATCAAAGGAATATGGTGGGAGAGAGGGGTCTGCTGGCCAGGGTGATAGGCCCTGTGGGGTGGGGATTCCCTACTTCCCTATCCCTCCTCTAGAGATGAACCTTGAGTATATAATGAAATTCTTTCTGTTCCTATTTTAAATTGGGATAAACAAAAGTTGCAAAAACTAATGGCTATCAAGCATTTGGGATACCCTGTCCTGCAATGTCTGATGGGGATGGGTTATGTTTTCATGGCAAAGGACAGCACTTAATTTTTTGTCAGGAGCCCAACAGTAGCAGGACATGATATAGAGTAGGCAGGTCTTTTCCATTTTTATTCTGGTTTCAATGGTTATCGGAGAATTTCCTTTTCTTTTTAATGTGTTCAATATATTCTAGGGCCTTCATAACCAGCATTATTATGCTTTCCACCTGGAAATCTTAAGAAACCGAACTGTCAATTCTCAGCTATTTCCCACCTCTCTTTGGTGTTATGACTGAATGAGTGGGGAAGTGCTTTTTTGTTTTTTTTTAAAGGTGGGTTGAGTTTACAAGTTGCCTATTCCTGCCATGTTGGCCCAAGGCTTTGATTTGTTTTGGATCCTAAGATATGTAGCAGGACTTCAGTGAAACTTGATCATCCTGTGCCCCAAATGCCTGATAAAAGCCTTGGCCCTCCCTTGAACCTCCACTCACTCGTTGGCGCAGTGCTTCTGTCTCCTCCTGATATGCTGCCAGCTGCTGCTTCCATTGCTCCACATTGGCATTAGCTTCATGCAAGGCAGCCACCAGTTTGTTGTTGTTGTCTTGCAGGGTGAAAAATTCAGCTTCCCACTGGACCTCACAAACAGACCTGGGAGACACAGGGACAGGGAATATGCAAAGCATTCTAGGTATTTTACTTATTTTATGTATTTCTAGCTTTCCTACAGCAGCTGACAATATTAACAATATTAATCTATTGTTAATAAAAAATGAAGGACATCAAAGTGGGGGCTTGGTGAGTTTGCCTCAAGAGTATTTTTGACAAATGGAATGAAACCTACTCAGTTTCTTCAGTAACAGATCTAAGCAGGTGAGCATGAAGAGAAAGATTTCTAAGAAAGATCTTTGTGGGCAGGTATATTTGGAGATGGTTATTCTGAATCTCAGAGTAAAGGACTTCAAAAATATCCAGCCCCAAATGAGCAATTAAGCAGTTGCCACAGCCAGCTTTCAACTTATTGGTGCTGGTACCTCTAAACAAGTGCAGAATGCCTTCTCTTGTTAAGCGCTATTTATACTATATTCTGTATAAAAAGGAAAAAGAAAAAGAATCAGCTAATTCCCTCCCTGTGAAATGTCAGGGTAGGGAAAAGACAAAGAGCAGAAATCTGTACCTGGGCCTAGAGCAGGGAAATGAATAAATTGTATCACAAGCCCTGGGTCAGTTGGGGGGGAAGGATGCTTAGATTTTGGAAAAACATGATGAATGGGAAAACAAACAACCTAATCCAATGTTTCACTTTCCTTTCCAGGATTTGGATAACAGAGCAGGAGTACAGAGCCTATGGGGGAATATAACTGCAAAAGAGAGAGAGAGTGAGAGAGAGAAAGAGAGTGCGAGAGAAAGAGAGGAGAGAGAAAGAGAGAGAGAGAGAGAGAGAGGGAGGGAGAGAGGGAGGGA